CTGCCTCGACAATAAAGCGCAATCTTCTTTATGATGCCAGGGGAGATTGTAGCTGAGCTTCAAGATTTTATGTGGACTGTTTTGTAACTGGCTTATATGACATTTGGCTATATCTGCCTAAACGCAACTCTGTTATCTAGTGGAATGTTCTAATCTAGTACCTGACATTCACCTCCCACCTTATGTTCTGGACTTAGTTGTCCCAGCTTTTGTTGCTTCTGGGCAAACTAAACATTTCTACACAATCATATGCTTCTTAAAGGCTCCTAGTTATATCTGCAGAGCTTAGGCCAGAGCAGAGTATAGCTGTATCATTTACAAATATATATATAAATATATATACACATATATATTTGCTGTGCTATAGAAGACAAGACAAGTCTTGTTGCCATTATAATCATTTAAGGCAACAGCTGAGTAAACAAACAAATTTTTCAATTTTAATAGTTATCAATCAACAATTTGCTATGGAACTCTATTGAGTCATGCAACATGGCACAGCACATTTTTATATAAAAATAAAATACATTTAATGGCTGCATTTTTTCACTATTTCTGCAAGATATAAATTTGAAAATATTGTATTAAAATGCGTCGGCATTCGGCACTCGGCAATGCAATAAATAAATGCCTGCAAATCACACACAATAAATTCCGATTACAATTTCAGCTGGTCCAATGGCTCGTTAAGTTTTTTACACACAATCGGCTCAAAGGGCGGCAAATAGTGCTACGAAATTTATGAGACAATATGGGAGCAGTCGAACTGAATGCTTTCCCTCATTTGGCACACACACACATAACCAATTGGATTCAATAGGTAATCAAAGCTGGCGAAAATGCTTCCTATTTCGCACTGCATATCGATTGCAAATGCGCACAATGAATGCTCAGCTGAACCGTAAAGCATATGTGGGCAGCATAAAAAAAGAACATTTAATCGTATGCCGTTGTTATTTAATCAATTGAATTCGTGTTACATTTGCAGCAACTGAACTGAATGCACTAAATGGATATTTCATTTGTTTCGCCTAATAATTGCAATCGCTCAAATGCACGAATATAAATTTCATTTTAGTTTTATATATTTATGCATGTTTCAATGACGCCGCCCCAGCCTTGGCACTGTTGTCGCCCGTCTGCAAACCCAACCACGCGCACCCCACATAGATAAGCAGTCGTCACAATTACGCTTAATTACACGAGTGAGCGACGGGCAAGCAATTTAAAAGCAATTCCACGATCATCAAATGACACCAGCAGACGAGCTCTTCTTGCCTGCCCAAGCGTTAAAAGACCAGGTGCGCAAGCACTACAAAGCCATATTTTTAGACCACAAATTTGGATTGACAGATTAGCATCTTAAAAGACAGCCTAACAACAGCTGAGCTTGTTGTGTTTTGGCTGTTCTTTGCTTTATGGCTTTGCCAATTGCAAGTGCTTAAATGAGCTATATTGCCTTTGTTCAAATGTGGAAGGCTTTATGAGAGTTATATATTATACTTGTGTATATATATTATATATTATATATATATATATATATATATAGATAAGTAGCAACATATGTTCATAATCTGCATCACACGACGAGTTAAGAGGTGTTTCTCTTAGGCTCTGTTTACCTTTATATTCCTCTATTCGTCGTATAAATGTATTGATCTTGACATATAGTGAATTCTATATTTTTTATACTCATAGACTCTTATCTGCCTCTATGTTCTATTCAGCCACTTTGAACAAACTTTTAGCTTTACTGTTTACTATTTTGCTACCAATTAGCTGCTTCTGCTTGCCAACTTCTTAGAATGACCTTGAAAATATGCCTAAATTATTGAGTTCTTGACGGCTTTAGCTATAAGAATATGGCTTTCTTTTAATATATATACATACATTTATACATATAACTATTCTACATATTTCACATGTCATAATTAGCAAATTTTGATTAACGCCAAATTGGAAATCCCCGTCCCCGTCCCCGTCCCCGTCATGAATATTTGCTCAGAGTCGCATATTATATACATACCCCTTAGCAACTCAACTGCAAGACAAATTCCTTTAAATATAGTAGAGTAGTTCGATTGTATTTGTAGCTGGTGAAGCAGTTGTGATTGTTGCTTGATTGAAGTCTGAAAGCTGATAGACTTGTTTGAAAGGCAGAACGAGGCAGAGACAGAGGCAGAGGCAGGCTGTGGAGGAGCGAACACACAAATGAACAGTTATAGAAACAAAGGCTATATAAACTAGGCTATAATATAGCAAATGCATGAGCTGGCAGCAGCCTCTTCTTATATAAATATCAAACATGAACTGCTTTAATCCATTACTTAAACTTATGCCACAATGAAAACACAAACTAATAAAGTTCAACAAATTTGTGGAGTTAAATAAATTTGCATTTTCATTAGCATTTGCAGGTGATGGAGTCGTGCTGTGCTAGCGCTTTCCATTGCAGTGCCACAGCCCTTTGATCACAAGTTCATTGAAAATTGATTGCTAATTATTTTGGCTAATTGCAAATTGCAGCTGACATGGCCTTAGCTTTTGCCGCACCTATTCGCCCGACTGTCAGCGGCAGACTGCAAAGCCGCAACCACATATTGCCGAGGTCAGTGCGAGAAAAATATAAAAATTGCGTGAAAATCTGAAAATGTGAAATTCTGAAAATCTGAAAATGTGAAAATCTGAAATAAGAAATCAACTTGCGCTGTGCACTTGAAGTACACAGAGCAGCGGAGTCAGCTGTCAGCTAGTCAATGATGTATGCAAACTCTGTCTCAGTTGCCTCAGTCGACGCTTATCGTGTCAAGACGTTTGGGTCAAATTGTTAGCCAGCTGAGCGGAGCTGAGCTGAGCTGTTGTAATGCCATGTTGATTGTGGCTAACACACACAAGTGACCACAATTCAAATGCCCAAATGGCTACACGTGTGCTCGTTGTAGTTGCCTCTCCAAGCACCTCGGCATGTGGCACCCACCCACACACGCACACATTCATCTGCGTTTGCAATTTAGTTCCTGGAAATCATTCCTTTATTCATACAATTCAGGCCCAGGCCGAGCACAGCTCGTCCTTTGCCCAAATAGTATCACGTACGCTTTCAAACAATTATTGTCCTTGGCCACCCGTCCAACCAGCCACCCACCCACACATTGGCATTTATTATGCAGGATGGTCTTGAGATAAACTCAAATTTGATTTGAGTTGTCGTCGCTATAAATTGAAGCTTGCAACTTTAATCAGCCACGCGCATCATCGATAGCTTCTAGATTTATCCATAAATATTTTGTTCCGCTCTGCAGCGCTTTAATGGCCACGCAATTAAGACAAATCGCTATTCAAATGACCCAAATAGATTCGAATATTTTCGTTGCTGCTGTGCAATAAATAAACACACGCATCTGGATGCCGCTGCCAGTTAAGCAAGGTTTCTAGACCAGTGAGCAGTTCAATACCGAAGCACAAAAAAAACAACAGAATTTATTATTCATATTTGTGGCTCTCTTAGTGGATTAGTACTGTGGCACGAGGGCAGACAAGCGGAAAACCAATTGCAAACAGGTAAACTATAAATGCAAATATTTGCAGCATGCAGCGTCACACGCGGCGTATGAGTGATGCAGCCAGCGCTAATAATGATTCATCTGGTCGTAAATCGTTGCGGGTGCCGCTGCGGCTGTAACAGTAACAAGTCAACAAGTTCACTATTTATGGCTACGGTGTGAAAATTGACGCATTTGTTTGGCCAGCGAAAGTTGCTAATTGTTTGCACTGTTCGAGTTGCAGCATTAGCTAACCGATCTATTGCCGCATATGCGGAAAAGAAAGTCACAGCCAGTCAATGGCCAATGGCCAATGGCCAATGGCCGTCCCATCAATCTGCCATGGCAAATACATTAATCGGTCAAGCGGCACAACTCACGTACACAATCCACCGGGCACAGGCAGCTAATCAGCATGTCAGGCGGCCACTCATGCGTGGCTATTTCTGTAGCCAAAGCAGTTGCTGTTGCTCTTAATGCTCTGTGCAGATTGCAAATGGCTAAGATGAGGTATATCGAGTTGGGTTAAGCTGAAAGATAATCACTTGACTTGACAGTTCATTTCATATCTAACAGTTTAGCTCTGCTTCAACAAGTTATTTTGCTGCTCAGAATTTCTCAGTCTTATCATAAGCCAACTTTGCTCTCTTTAGATTACGAATTCTATTCGAGAATTATATAGTTTTTTTCTTCAAGTGTCAGAGCAAGTGCAGCCAGCGTTCATAATCTGTGTGTTTAATCTGATGCTAGATAATGCTAAACTTAGAAAACATTCCTCTGCCACAGCTCAACAGCTGACATAGACTTGGCATGTCTTCAAAAATTCTGTAAGAATTTAATTATATAGATCAAAAGTGAAGAGAAGAAAATTTCTAAAGTAAAATACTAAACAATCAGATATATTAGATATATGGAATATGTGCCTCATCAGCCTAAAAGCTGTTGACAACTCAAATCGAAATTTCGCTAACTATAAAACACCTCGCCACAGCTTGCAGCGCATCCGTTAGTCTATCAAACTCGCTTCAAGCACTCTCAACACTCAACACTTAAAGTCATAGTCCCCTAGTTGAGTACACAGTGCGAAATGGTTGCGAAAAGGCAACAGTAGAGCCAACTGCGCACGCGCAAAGCCCAAGTATCTCACGGATGCTTGCTTAGCCAAAACAGCTGAGAGACGCGCTGAGCGCTGCGCTCTGTGTACTGAAGCCCAATGCCCCACCCCACCGCAGCTCGTCTGGGGCCCATGGCAAACGTGTTAGGCGGCGCCGAGTGCGAAACCCCAAACCGAAACTTAGACTGAAATCGAAAACCCGCCAAGCGACCCGCGCCCGCTGCGAGAGTCGCTTCGTTTCGGTGTGCTGTGCGCTGATTGCTGTTTGCTGTGCCGGCTTTGGCGTTGACCAGACTTATTTGAGTACCTGTAAGAGCCTCTCGAATACTCAGTTGCGAATTTCATACAAGCCGAAACGGTCGTGTGTGTAGGAGTCAGAATTTCGGCACATCAATTCGACTGATAAGCCGCAGATCCAAGCCAACAAACAGCAGCGAGTTAAGTGTTAAGAAGATTCACATTTAAATGGAAATTAGTCGAGTCAATATCACGTGAAGTTCTGTGAGCAACTCAGCGTGGAGTCAAGAATTGAACATAATCAAATAAATAGTTTACACAAATAGACGCAAAGATGATCGAGCGACGCAGTCAACTGGATAAGGTAGGCAAAAGTAAATGAATTTTCGGATTGAAGCTGAGCTAAGTACGGCCGAAACGCTCTAGGCTTAATTTTATAAAGCATATTTTAAGATATCTCAGATCTAACTTTTAACATTTGACTTCTGACTAAGGTCAGGATCGTAATTAATTAAAACCAAACCAACAAAAAGAAATCAATTTATCATAAAGCCAAAAAAAGACAATTTAAATACGACCTCAGCTATGATATATTGTATATGTGGAGATAAGGAAATTGGAATATTTAGATATATATACATTTTTGTATATTTTTTTGAACTTCTTACATTCAGCACTACTATTTTTATGAACAGCCGGTTTTCAATGCAGCTCTCTAAAACTATCAAAGGCAAATGAATTCTGGCCCAATGCAACGGAATTTCTTTGCAAGTGCCTTAATTGCTTTCGATTCTAAGCAAAAAGTGTGCAACTTTTTATTTCTAAACTGAAAAAGTACCGTTCAATTTAGCTTAAAAATTTGCGTAGTGCAGCACTACTATTTTTATGAACAAATGTGTATAAAACTAATTAAATTTGATTTAGGTTTAACAATTTTGATATTTGTTAATTATATTTAAAGACTGCTTTAAGTATGCAAAACAGTTTTAATTGCGCTCAGCAAAGTGATTCGTCTTTTTGCTTTATGCATACTTCATTTAGGCATCTTCACTGTACTGCCTGCTGATAAGCCGGTTTCGTATTATTAACAGTGTATATTTATTTTTTTGTTGTATACATAGTGAGATCATGAGACAAGAATTATGTTTCTCTTTCCTCTGTATCTTAATCTATAGCCGAGTCTGTACTTGGCGTGGCTTGGCTTGGCATGATTCAGTTTTCAGTTTTTCGTCTCTGACGGAGTTTTGAGCCATTTGCATTAGCTCATGATAATATTTCAAGACTGTGATAACTTTTGCTTTTGCTTTTGGTTTTACTCTTGCTTTTGCTGGATTCATCTGCAGGTGTAGAATGCTTTGAAATTCTAATTAATGACGTGCTCTGCTCTAGAGTTGCGTAACTTTGTGGCGAATCGCAGCAGCTGGCTGATATGAATAATTAATGGAACTCTGAGTTGATACGAGTATATATGATTAATTTGGCTATGCCCCTGCCCACCCCAGCTACAATGTATTAGGCCAGCTTATTTATACAAGCCCAACATTTATAATTATAAATAGCCGCCAGCTGAGCTCATTGAGAAGCCCGAAACGAATTTAAATTCTGTGCAGCGTCTTCACTTTACGACTTTTTTTTTTTTGCTGATCGATATTTATAAGCAAGATACTTTTTTATATCGATCTGTACTCAATGGACGTCAGCACGCGCGTCACTTTTCGCCATTATATTTTTTTTTTTCTACTTTTTTTGGACGCTGCCATTCACTTGGCTCTGACTGCCACTGTGAGCCATGTCACGTAAGCGTATGCACTCGATTTAGCTACAGCGCTAGGTAGCTAGGCAACAATTACTGCAAAGCCAGCCAATTGGAAGTTAGCATAAGTGGCTGCTGCCTGCTGGCTGCTTGAGGAATGCACGTGCCAAGCGTACGGGCTGGAGTATTCCACTTGATGCTCGCCCAAGCACTCGTCTTTGGTTTGTTTGCCCAGTTTGTTGATTTTAAATGAACGCCCGGCGTACTTTGCACAATTAAGCTAATAGGAAATAATCAGAGCCAGAGTCAGAGTCAGAGCCAGACCCAGACCCAGACCCAGAGCCCCGAGATGTAGAAAAGTCTGTCCAACAGCACGAATAGACACAGTGTGTGAGAGATGTGCGTACTTATAAGTGAGGGTACAGGCAAATTGAGTGGGAGGAAATTAGATCAGGCTAGTTGAAAGTCGCTGCTAGCTGATACCCTGCAACCAGCGGAGAGATGTCAAGGAAAGAGTATGTAATTCTATACATGTATATACATGTATTAGATTAGGGAGAGAATGTCACTTAAAGATGCCCTGCAGCCGGGGCCAAGCATAGATATATATTGTTTGAGAGAGATAGATATCTATATACTAAAGGTAATGGCAAATGGAGTGGGAAGGAAATAGATAAATATAGCTTGCAAGTCCGACTAAGAGATACCCTATGGTAAGAAGTAACATTGTATTATATGGTGTTAGAGGGGAAAACTTCCATAAGAAAGAAGATAGGAAAAGGTTAGCTTAAGATTGCTGAGGTTTGAGACAAACATATACCAGGGCATATGTTTGTCTCGAACCTCAATCATCAAGAAAATGCCAATAGATTTTTATCGATTTTGATGGCATAACAAACGAAGCTTGAACTCAGCTTAATTTTGCTCTTCAATGCCGACCCGAAACCTAAGCTTTAAATGGATCTATATTTGTGTTTAGAATATATGCTCATTTACCCCTGCTCAACGTCTATCATCTAGGGTATATGAAGAGCAACATTACAAGCACTGAGAGCTCTCCTTAAGATAGTCCAAAACGTACGCAGCTAGTAGACAAAGTTCATTAACCAAGCGCAAAGCAATTAAACAAGTCACACAACTAGATGATTGACAGACAGGCAGACAGACAGGCAGAAAGACAAGCTGGCCTAATCCCATCAGAGAAGTTGGCCAACGGCTTTTGATCAGATCTGAAGTTGATTTTATGAGAGGCCCGCAAAACAATGTATTGCTACACATTGATTGTTGGCCTGGCTACTTGTGTTTCGACTGCGGTAAAAACTTGTTCTACATAGTCTTTAAACTAAGCTCTATTAAAGCCATTTCAAAAGATATAATTATTATTTCATGTTTTTTTGTTGCCCAGCGTAAAGTTGTCTAAAGGCAAATTATGGAAAAACAATTGTTCTTAATGAAAAACATTTAAATTGAAACTTTGTTTATTAATTTCGAATAGCTTTCAATAATTAAATTCAAAAATATATCAAGTGGACGCATTAATTTATAAATATTTTACTGACATATTTATCACGTTTTAATGAGTTTTTTATATAGAAAATAAAAAAATAAAATGCATAATTAATTTGTATTAAAACATTTATTGATTTATTTTGCACGTGCCGCATATTAAACATTAAGCAAATTACTTCTTTTGTTTTTCCCCAGTCTTTATTTTACATATAGAACTCACTTGTTAGGCTCCTAGATTATTGGCTTTATACAAAAAAAATAAGAGATATATATATACAAATAATCGTTTGATATATTAATATTATTGGGTATATAGTCAAGGCAGCCCAATGTCGGTGTGAAGTCAAGCAGAAATTCTCTTGGAACTTATATTGCTTAGGCGAGCATCACGCAGTCGGCTACTAATTTGTTAGCTAATTCCTGATCGGGTTTATTTAAATATGCACATTAATTACGGTCTGACTGAGAAAAGTTGTACATAAAAGAATGTTTATGTAGACTTTACTATTGCCGGTGTACCTACAAATTGTTTTTTATAGCAATCTTTGTGTGTATATGTGTCTGTGTGTGTGAGTGTACAATTAAATTATTGCAAATTAATTACATTGATTATTTGGGTATTAAGTGGCTGTCATTTCTGTGGCTGTTGCGGCAAATTACGGCGTGTGCACATCAATCTATCTGCCAGAGGGCTGTACACACACACACAAGCACTCACACTGACACACATGTGCCTGTGTGTGGGGCGCATTTGATTGCTACTGAATACTATTAATTAGCTGCTTGATTTACGATACATTGATCCGCCTCCCTCTGCTAAAATTAACTTGGCGTAATTGTAGTTTCACTTTTTATTGAGCGCACTTCATCTTCATCGTACGCCCGTGCGATTAAAGATACTTAATGAAGTCTTTAAGTAGCAGCAATTAAGTGGTCTAAGTTAATTGAATCTAAACTCATTGTTGTTGTTATTTTATTTGAATGTCTGGCAACTCCACCCCGAATTAGAGCATTCCAAACAAAAGTGCAAAGTCGAGAAAGAAAAGCAAAACAAAAAACATAATCTAAAAATAACGAATATGTGCTTAAAGCAAAGACAAGTAAAGCCAGCAAAGGCAAACAAATGATGCAAAACAAATTACGAAAGTTACTTCGATCTCAACATTTTACAAGTTAAAGAAAACGAAGGGAACGCTAATAATAATAGAAATCAACATGTTCTACAGGCATTATACTCATATACATACTTACACACACACTGATAGATACATAGCTAAACACATAATCATTTATCTTCAAACAATTGCGCCGTGTTTCTTGCACGTGTTCGAGTTCAGGTTCAGGGCTTTGTAGAGTCTTTGCTGTTGGGCGGCTGAGCTGTTGGAGGAGTGGCAGTCAAAAACAAATCTGACTATCTGAGTTACAGTTCGCGTTTTTCCGCAAAAAGTTCACGTTCTGCGACCGCTGGAAAAAAGTATATGAAAAAAAAAACAACAAAAAGAACAGTATAAGTAAATCAAAAATAAACGCGAAAGAAAATAGCACCAAAGCAATGACAACAATACAAGAAACCGAAATGGCAACTGTGAAGTGCCAGCGGCAACGGAAGAGGGAGAGGAAGAGGGAGAAACTGAGCAGAGCTATGTAGAAGCAGACGCGGAGGCAGAGGCAGCTGCAGAAGTAGAGAGGCACCAGCGGCATAAGTAGAGAGGCAGCGGCAAAGCAATGAAGAGTCAGAGAGGCAACAGCAAAGCGCAAATGAAATAAAAGCAAAACAGGTAATAAAATATAAAAAGCTGACCGTGAGCAATGTCAGGGGCTCATGGCGCTTAGGCGCCGTTCATTTGTTTGTTGCCTTTGGCCTGGGACTGCGCGTAAGTGTGACCAGAGTTACGGTGCAAAACCGTTCGACGAGCGTTGGTACAAATTTATGCATTGTCAGCAAACGACGGCGGACAGACAGAGCTAGCAAGCGCATTAGAAACAATAGCAGCACGAGCAACTGAAACAGCAACAGCAGCCGGTTGAGTCAAATTCAATTTTACGCTCTATGCCGCTTTGTTATTTGGTTTCTAGTTCAAGTTTAGGGTCAATAACTGTCG